TCCAAATTTATCCAAATATTGGGCCAGTATCCAAATAAATTTTTACGATTTCCAAACCAAATTTTTCCGGGTCCCTGTCCAGAACCAACAGTTCGTTATAGAAAGAATTGACTGTAATAATTATTACAAAGTTAATTCCATATTCTTGATTTTATATTGTGTTATGTAATTGCTAACAAATTGCTATATATATAAGAGCCTGATATAAAATTTCACTCGATATAAAACGCATTCTAAATTTATTTCGAGCGAATTACGGTCCGTTATAAATTCTTAAAGAGCTAGCGCTAATAATAATATATCTTTTTTAAAAAAATTTTTTTAAAAAAATCATTTTATGTACATACGTACGTACAGTACATTTGAAATAAATCATTAAAACGGAAATATAAATGTAACATATATATATTATATATATACTGTATATATTTTAAGATAAAATATAAAAAAAAAGATAGAACCTACTGGTATAATAGCATAAAGTTTACAATGATTATAGAATTATCTAGTATCTTCCACCGCTAAAGTCAATGAGCTACTCTTATTCTTATTTAATATTTTTTGAGATAAAAACTCTAAAATTTTTGGAGAAGGAGGTATACCATAAACAACGACCAGACAAATTCTTAACATAAGATCTATAGAATTGCTAATAGGAATAAAAAGCACCGAAGAACCTATAGAGAATATTATGATATAATATATAATATAACAATTTATTATGAAAAACATTATAATCATATACCATAATCCAACAGAAGTATTTGTTGAATTTGTACGGTTTAATTGAAAGTCTTTAATATTTGAAGTGCATAAAGAATTGATGTTATCAGCTGTATTATTATGATTATCAGCTGTATTATTATTATCGGCTGTATTATTATTATCGGCTGTATTATTATTACTGCGTTCGACCTCTTGACATTCATTCTTAACAGTATTCTTATTATCAAAATCATTAGCTTGGCGATTACCAAAATGAATTGCCAGAACAGGATTAAAAGCGTACAGAAAGGAAAAAATCAATCCAATCATCCAAAAAACGGCAGCCAAAATACAAGCCGCCATATAAGGTTGTTCACCCTTTTGCCAAAGTGTACGATTAGATGAGATCCAATATATGCAATTCAAGATTATGATTGAAACTATTGCTACATTACAAAATGGATCGTTCCAACTTGACCTATAATAAAATCTACGACCAGTTTGTAAAAGATATGACAGCATTACGGTGACATAAAGAGAGGATGTCATTAAATAAATACACCAAAAATATGTCAACTTAAACTGAGGTAGTATTTGTAGTAAATTTATTATGCTGGTAGACATATTTATTAAACTAGATATTAGGCTAAGATAGAATAAATCGAAATTAGATATATATATACTTAAAAAAAAATAATAATTTTAATATTATCGTGTGACAAAATTATCATTATTACCATGCTCCTCTTAGGTTAGTAAACTTTTTAAGGCAAATAGACGCGAGCGCGCAGCTTGCGAAAAGACTCATTAATAAACTTATCGCCGTAAGTGCATATTCGATGACCATTTTTTTAACATAAAAATTGTTTGGTGAAAATGTGAGTTGAAATAAACTGTAAAAAATAAAAATAGGTATCGAGTTATATATCACAACTAGTCTCAGGACACACGTCCTTACGTCCGTTATAAGGATAAGCATATAATTACTGTAACACAGACTATGTATTACTATTATGTTACTGTTTAAAATATGTCACACAAATATCGACTAATCATATTCATTTTATTCTGTGGTATATAGAGTTTTTTTAAAAACATATTTTTTACTAAAAAAGGCTGATTCATCCAGTAGTCGTAATACATTGATGATAATGTAACTTCATTACTGTATTTATGACGTCAAATTTGAACGAATAGAGACAAGCATTATTCGACAAAACAAGTAAATAGTAAATCTACTTTCCCATTCTTTTTGATTACAGTATTAAAACTTTAAATATACATGTGTGTTACAAAGTGCACAAAGCCTATTATAAAATATTTAAATAACTGAATCATTCTGTTTAAGACAAATTTTATACAACCGAGATTTTTCTGAGGGGTTTTTTTTTTTCTTTATGCAAATTTTATTGGTCATATACTGTATGAGTGCAGCCAAGGCAAAACCAGTAAATATTTATGCTATCAAATGGCAAATTAATCCTGTAAAAAGTTGATATTACACATTAAATCGCATGTGAGTGCCGCCCAAGGGAAAATCTATCATTGGGCTTTCAAAAACGTTGATCGCATACAGCTAAGTTCTCCATATTGGTAACTTAAATATTTACATACTGGTTTTGCCTTGGCAGCACTCATATTCAAAAAAGTTTACAATCTCCTAATAAAAACAGATACACTGTTAATTGAATTGAATTGGAAAAATTCAAATTTAAAGACAGATATTCGTATAATAATAAACGCGACCTCTAGAAAATTTTTTTGAATTTATTTTTTTATTAGTTCGAAAACGTGCATTTTCGAATAACTAATATATACTTTAATAATTATTTGTCCGAAGCGAAGCAATGTGAAATTAACATTAATAATGTTTTAAATATTTGGTTTCAGAAATACAATGCTTTGCATTTACCTAGTTTTTATCATGCACACGTTAGAATAATTAACACTTCGTATACACTGTAATGAATTATTTTTAGTTTATTCATTTTTTTTATATATTGATTATTTTATTTTTTTTTATTTTATTTTTATTTGAGTTTTATTCTTATTTTTCTTTTGTATATAGTCTTACTTGTTACCAATTCCATTTTGATCGCGTATATAGTCACGATGGGAATATTCAATTAGTTATACTAAATAGGTAATTGATAGTGGCTTGGTGGCTTATCCCATGTAAACACGTGAACGCTCAAAATGGCGTGTATACACGCTTACACCAATTTGTAGATCCTGTGCCAGAAGCGTGTATGCTTAAGATGAAGCATATGTAGTGAATTTGCTCAAATTAGAACATAAACACTCTAAGAAATTTAAATGTATATAAATCATTCAAATTTAATAAAGTTGAAATAAATTCTACATCCTTCATACAAAATAAAATAAAGTAGTAATGAAATACTTATCTCTTGTAAATTTTAACTTGTAACTTTAATAAACTCTGTAAGACTCAATTCGATGGACTAAATTAACTTTAAATTTATATCATTTTATTAAAACTCGGAATTTTGATGAAATGGCCTTTGTGCTTTCTTAGAACTTAATTACATGATTTACAATTAGAAATTCTTTCTTTTAAAAAAAGTTTTATTTAGCAAATATAAAAGTTAAAATCCCACCTCCTTTGGCATTACTAGCATTAGCAATTTTAAATTAATAAGTTCAAATTACTATTACTTTAAATATCAATATTCTTCAAGATCTTATTTAGATTATATTATATTATAATTGCTTTTAAAACTATTTACTTTTAAGTTTTATCTATAACCAGTTTTATCTATATAAACCATCCTCTTTGTACATGGTTGGAATTTAAATTGGTACTATTGTCTATATTTGTTTATTGCTCTTCTATTTAACTATTACAACACCAATTTTAAATTCTTTAATATAGCAATAAACCTTAGGTGTAGTATTGCTAAAAATTTATAATATATAATGTAAAATTTTAAATCATATTTATAATATTGCAATCTAATTGTTTTTTTTTTTTTTTTTTTTTTAGTAAATTGCTTATATGCTGTAATTTTTTTATTAATTTTTTTTTTTTTTTTTTTTAATATTAAAGGTGACCACTTAGGCCATTGGCATGAGCTTTATTTTGGATAGTTAC